CTCTTGCAAAAACCTCTGCCAGGGTTTAGCCGCCGTCGTCAGAATCAGCTCTTCGGCCCTCGTTCTCCTCAACATTTTCCACCTTCCACCCCGCTTTGGACCGACTGATGATCAGCTGCTCTGCAGCCCTCAGTACAAGCAAGACGCGGACCTGTTGGAGCGCCTCCAGACGAGGGCCACAAACACGATCAGAGGGCTGGGACACCTCTCCTGGGGGGGAGTTGGGGTTCTTCAGCCTGGAGAAGAGAAGGCTCCGGGGAGACCTTATTTTTGCCTTTCAATACTTAAAGGGGGCTTATAAGAAAGATGGGCGCAGACGTTCTAATAGGGCCTGTAGCGATAGGACAAGGGGTAACGGTTTTAAACTAAGAGAGGCCAGATTCAGACTAGACTCAAGGAAGACATTTTTTACCGTGAGGGGGGTGAAGCGCTGCCACAGGTTGCCCAGAGAGCTGGTGGGTGCCCCATCCCTGGAAACATTCAAGCTCAGGTCGGACGGGGCTCCGAGCAACCCGACCTAGTTGAAGATGGCCCTGCTCATTGCTGGGGGGTTGGACCGGACGACCTTTAAAGGTCCCTCCCAACCCAAACTATTCTATGATTCTATAGGGAGCTCTGAGTTGTGGGGGTATGACCCTCTCCAAGGGGCTCTGGAGGAGGCAGTTTGCCCATCCCACTGTGCCCCCACATCCCAGCTGAGACCGTACCCGGCCCCACTGACAGCTCCATCGATGGGGACCCTGTGCCAGCATGACAGGGTCTGCCCCGTTCATGGACACAGCACCACTTTCCCAGGCACCCTGGGGTCCTGCCTGCACCCCCCCCATGCCCACGGGTGCTCACCCAGGCATGGAGAGACGCGTCTCCCCTTGGGGGGCAGCTGGTACCTGCAGTGGCAGTGGGGACAAGGTGGGGACCGTGTCCCCAGGGAGTGAGGGTCCTCGTGGGCTCACCCACACCCTTTTCTCTCTCCCATGTGTGGCTGGAAGGGACGCCCGTGAACCGCATCCCCATCATGGCCAAGCAAGTGCTGGACCTGTATACACTGTACCGACTGGTGACGGACAAGGGTGGCCTGGTCGAAGTCATCAACAAGAAGATCTGGCGGGAGATCACCAAGGGCCTCAACCTACCTACCTCCATCACCAGTGCTGCCTTCACCCTCCGCACGCAGTGAGCGGCCCGGTGGTGGCAGTGGGTGGGGGGCACCCACCCTGGGGCACCCACTGGCTTGGATGTCCCAGAGCCCCCACTGGGGTGCGGCATGGGGTGCCCCAAAGGGGGATGGAGGGCTCTGCCCCTTCCCAGATGCCATCCCCACCCCAGTCCCTGCTCAGCACAGGGCTGACTGGGAGGCTCATGGTGCTGGCTCTCATCCTGGCTCTCTCCCTGTGCAGATACATGAAGTACCTGTACCCCTACGAATGTGAGAAGCAGGCACTCAGCTCCCCTGGGGAGCTCCAAGCCGCCATCGACAGCAACCGTCGGGAGGGACGGAGGCAGACTTTCGGCACAGCACTCTTCAACTACTCGCCGGCCGGCACCCCAGCCCTGCTGGGCTCCCCCAAAATGTCTCTGCCGGCTCTTAGCATCTCCACGCACAGCTGTGGACAGCTCGGCCAAGTGCATACTGTTAAAAAAGGTGGGCAAGGACCCCATCTGCCCCGCAGCGGGCATATCTCCCCAGGGATGGACACTGCTCTGGCAGCAGGGATGTTCCCTGTCTGCTCTTGCCCTTTTTGCTTGGGGAAAATGGGAACAATTTTGTTTGTTTAGTCCCTCTCTGGGACTGAGAAAGGTTTATTTCTCCTGGCTTTGGAGGAGGACCAGGCACAGATGCTGGGGGTGGTGGTGCACCCTGCCCCACGCTAGTGGGCTGGAGGTGGCACTGGCTGGGGTTGATGAGATGGGGTAGCGATGGGGGGACCTGCTGAGGTCTGTTGATCATTGCAGAGGACGGCGTGCTGGCAGCAGCAGTGCCGGGGCGCATCGCTATCCCAGTGGGACTGGCTGGCCACCATCTCGCAGCAGCCCAAGCAGCAGCCACCTCACAAGCAGTGGTGCTGGAGCAGCTGCAGGAGAAGCTGGAGACGGGGGAGCCCCCAGAGAAGAAGGTGGCCCTGACAGCAGAGGAGCAGCAGCGGCTGGTGCAACACGCGCTGCAGCACAACCTCCTGACCGTGGCCTCCCAGTTTCCCATGAATGTCAAGATCTCCAATGGAGGTAGCGAGATGCAACAACTCAGCTTGGGTCACCCCATCCCCTGGGACCCCAGGAGGGAGCAGCAGCGGCTGGAGGGGAGCATGGATGCCCAGAGAGGCCGGGGCTCCGCTTCTCTCTTGCGGGCAGGTTCTTGTTTCTGTTTCTGTTAATGCTCATATTGGTATTTCCTTTCCCCAGATGACAGACAGGAGACCGCATTGAACCTGTCCACCAACGGCATTAGCAGTATCAACATGTCAATAGAAATAAATGGAGTTGTCTACACAGGTAAATAGAAAGGCCGCTTGGCCCGTGTAATTGCGGCCGGGAAATCCAATAACTTATAGCCACTGCCTGGCCAGCAAGTCCTTCCTTCAATCTGATGTCTTTACTATAAAATCCATTGTAATGAAGTGGCAGGGCCTGGGGAGAGGGGGCAGGAGAAGGAGGGGGTCAGCAAGGATGGAAATCGGCCCCCAGCAGGGGTGAGCAATGAAGGGCCAAAGTGGGGGATGGATGGATGGATGGATGGATGGATGGACGGACGGACTCAGGTTGAGAAGTGCAAAAAGGCACCTGGGGTCATCCCCCACCATGGGGTCCTGCAGGCAGGGCTTAGATTTGGGGTGACCCCAATGCTGGTGTGCCCAGAGGGTCTCTGGCTGGATGCGGGGGTTGGCTGCTTGCAGAGCGTGGTGTTGGGTGCAGGGGAAGATATTGGGGTACTTTCTTGGAGCAGAGGCTTCTTTAGGGTGCCAATGTGCACCTACCTGGCTAAGCAGTTCACCCCATGCCCCCCAGCTCCCTGCCTGCCCTGCTGAGACACCCACAATTAATATTGATGGCTTTTCCTTTAGGACTTAAATATTTAACGAGCTGGAAAGGTCAGGGCTAATCAGCACGCAGGGCTGCCAGCCAAATGGTCCCGGGCCACCCTGGGGGTTGCCCCATGCGGGTGAGGGCGGCTGGGCCGGGGGAGGCACCAAGGGGGGTCCGGGGGAGGAGGGTGATGGGGGGGGGCTGGGCTGGAGGGGTGCTGGTCCCGCCCTCCTTAGCCTGGGTGCTGGGGGCCAGGTGAGCGGAGCCCCCAACCCTGGGCTTGCTCTAACCCCCTTGCTCTTGCTCTCCAGGTGTCCTGTTCGCCCGCCAGCCCCCAGCCACCCCGGCACCCGGGGGAGGGAGCACCCCGCCCCCGGCACCCGGTGGAGGGAGCACCCAGAGCCGGCCAAACCCCATGCCCACCCCGAACCCACTGCTCCCAGCCCCCTCACACAGCCACACTCCCGCCAGCACCTCACCATAGAGGAGATGCCCCCCCACCCAGAAAGCAGCTGGGGGTCCCCAGGGCCTGGGGGGCTGAGCTGTGGGACCCAGCTGGGCCACCAAGGTGGGATGGGGGACCCGAAGGTGCCTCTTCCTGCAATACTGAGCTTTGTCCGTGCAAGGCTGGGGGCACCCACGGGGCCCCTTTTGTCCCTTACCTCTGTGTGGGACCCTTTCCCCTCATGTGCCCTCTGACACACGCACCATCCTTCCCAAGCGCTGCCCCCAGGTGACCCCCCATACAGCTCCTGCCTGCCCTGCTGCCTGGGGCACCCCCGGGCCCTGCATGCTGCATCCCCTACACACTGCAGCCCCTATACACACCTCGATGCACACACTGTGGCCCCTATACCCACCTCAGTGCACGCACTGCAGCCCCTATACACACCTCAATGAGCACACTACGTCCTTCACATTGCCACACTCAATGGACATGCTGCATCTCTCACATACTGTCTCCCCTATACACATCTCTATGCACACTGCGTTCCTTATACACACTCTCAATGCATACGCTGCATCCTTTACACACTGCATCCCCTATACACACCCCCAGTGCACACACTGCATCCCCTATACACACCCTTGGTGCCCACGTCACATCACCTGTGCACACCCTCAGTGCAAACACTGCAGTCCCTATACACCTCAGTCCCTGTAAATTGTAGCCCCTATACACTGCATCCCCTATATACTGCACCTCCTACCCACTGCAGACCCCCCAACACAGCCCTCCCACGCTGCTTGGGCTCACTGCCCCCGCCCTGAGACAACCCCAGGGTCCTGGGTGCCCCCTGGCCACCCCAAGGCAGTGGCACCTCAGCCCCCCAGGTCCTCAACTCGGGGGGGTCACCCTGCAGGGCAGATACTGGGGAAACTGGTGGGACTGGTGGGGGTGAGATGTGACAGGTTGTTAGGTGGGGATGGAGCTTACAGGGGTGGGGCTGGGGTGGGGCTTAATATCAGGGTGGGGCTTGTGCACTGGGAGGAGCTTGTTGGTGGGGGCAGGGCAGGGAAGCCCAGCAGTGCCCCCCACTACCAAAGACAGCCCAGATGCCAGGATCCCCAGCCAGAGGGCAGGGAGACGGAGGGCACCGCACCGGGCACTCCGAACTACCTCGTTGGGGCCGGGCGGGCGCCTCTCCCACCCGCTCACACCCCTGGGTGCCAAAGCAGGCGAGCGTGGAGCAACGCTCACCTCTACCTCAGCGCGGGCGGCCGGGGCTCGGTACCACCAGGCTCCCCCCGGCACTCCCACCGTGGCCGCGCCACTCTGTGTATCTATTAAAGGAAATGAACTGCTGAACCAAACCGGTGTTGTGGGTGGTATGCATGACATGGTGCCACCCACCAAGCTCCAGTGCCCACACTGGGGACATTTTGAAGGTGCTGTGGACACCCCCACAGCCCGTGACACCCTGAGGTAGCAGCTATAGTGCCTGACCCCATTAGGCTGCCTATGCCAGGCAAGGGGCACAGCTGTGGAGCTGTGAGGTTGCACCAGGCGAGGTGCAAGCAGTGCTGGGCCAGCCTGGCACCTGGGCAGCACCCACAGAGGGCACAAGTGACCCAGCTGGAGCTGGAAGGGAGACACAGGCACACACATGGGTGCTCATGGGTGCATATATGGGTGCACATGGGAAAGCATGGAGACATGCAGGCAGCTAAGTCGCCACACAGGCACAGATCACATGTGCACTCTCGCAGAAACTCAGTGGCATGCACTAATGCATGCACACTCTCACACAGTCACACTCACACATGCACAGGCACTTGCACACGCATGCAGCCACCCGTACACATGAAGAGGCACAGTGTCCTCCCACGGGGACAGACACTCCTGCCAACGGTAGTCATGAGGACAGCCTCCCCCCGCCCCCCGACACCCATGAAACCAGGTCCCTGGCACCCAAGGGGACAGAACCTCCTGTTTCAGAGGTCGCGCCAGGGGACAACCCCCAGCCCCCCGGGGACACCCCCCAGCCCGGACACCCGCCGGCCGCGGCGCGGGCGCTGTCCAGGGTGCTGCAGCGGCGCTGCACGCCCCGGGCCCCGGGCAGGGACACGTGGGGACTGGGGACGGGACACCGTGGGGACATGTTGGGGACACGGAGAGACGCGGGACCCCTGCAGAGGACCCTAGGGCTGCCCCGGGCCTGGTCGGCCAGAGGAGCCCTATAGGTGGGTATGAGGATGAGGGGTGTGTGAACGTGGGAGTGGGGAGTGTGTGCGTGTGTGAGAGTGTGTGAGTGTGAGAGTGTGTGTGCGCACCAGGCTGCAGTAGGGTTTCCTGTGCACGCGTGTGTGTGTGTCTGTGTGTGTGTCTGCTAGTGTGTGCCCTGGGCTGCAGTGGGGTTCCCTCTGTGTGTGTATGTGTGTGAGTGCATGTGTGTGTGCGTGCACCAGGCTGCAGTGGGGGGGGAGTGTGTGTGTGTGTGAGAGTGTGTGAGTGTGAGAGTGTGTGTGCGCACCAGGCTGCAGTAGGGTTTCCTGTGCACGCGTGTGTGTGTGTCTGTGTGTGTGTCTGCTAGTGTGTGCCCTGGGCTGCAGTGGGGTTCCCTCTGTGTGTGTATGTGTGTGAGTGCATGTGTGTGTGCGTGCACCAGGCTGCAGTGGGGTTTCCCTCTGTGTGTGTGTGTTTGTGAGTGTCTCTGTGTGCACCCCAGACTGCAAGATGGTTCCAGGGTGTTTGCTCTGGGGTAGGGGTGCCAAGGCTGTACGGGTGTGAGACAGCTAAGCCCTGGCACAGAACTCCTCCAGCCATGGCACAGCCCGGCACAGCCCGCCAAGCAGAGCCGGAGTGGGATCGATGCATCCTGAACTGGGGTCTTGTGTCCCCTGTCACTGCCGGGCAGCAGTGGCCACAGCTCATCGAGCACCAGGGCCCTGGGGAGCCGGGAGGGCACACACGGGCCCGTGTCCCCACTTGTTACGCAGCTGAGGGGTTGATGTGTGATGCCACTCTCCCTGGGGGGCTTGGGAACACAGCTGCTGTCACCTGAGTAACCAGTCCTGATCAATGCCCGCTTCCCGCGTCCCACAGGGACTGTAATTGAGTGGGAGGAGGAGACGGAGGACACAGGGACGATCCAGCCTAGCAAGAGGAGCACCGGATCTGGACTCAGCGCTGGGCTGGGGGCAGGCAGCCATGGCATCAGTGTGCCACCACAGGCTCCAGGGATGGGTATGGGGTCAGAGGCCTCCTCTCAACCCCAAGGAGCAGGAGGGGCAGATTCACCATGCACTGTGCTGGGCTGCAGGCAGCCAGTGCTGTGGCTTCAGCCCTGCTCCAAGGCTTGCAGGCTGGATTGGACCTTAAAGGGTGGATGTCCTCCAACCCTAAAGACCTCCCAAGTGCCTGAGTCCCAGGACTGCCTGAATTTCTCACCCTGGGGGGGGTTGGGTCCTCCCAGCACGTGACCCCCTAGCATGGGGATTTGTGTATTCATGGGCATTGCTCATCACACTGGACACAAGCCAGTAGACCCAGTACCCTCTAAACACAAAGCACTGTGTGCACAGCCCCTGGCCCCTGCTGAAGCCCCCAGCCACTTCTACTAATGAAGCCATTTCTAACTGTCACCTTTGTGGAACAAAGCACAACTCTTCCGCTCTGAAGATGCCTCTTCCATGGCCCAGCTATCGATCCCTGGGAAAAAAGGCAGAGCACACGGGGCCTCAGCCTGCTCCTCCTGCCCAAGTGCTCTGCACAGCTCCTCCAGGGAGATTTGGGGGGGCATAGGCGTTGCTGGGACCCTGGGCCACCCCACAGCTCCCTCCTATAGCCTGGCAGACCCATACAACTCCCTGCAGGAACACACCTAGAAGGCCAAAGCTTTTTCAGGGCATAGTGGGTTTTGGTCTTGGCAAGGGGCACTGGGAGGGTCCCCAAAGCCATGCAGCCTGCATTGCCAGCCACGCTAACTAAGTACTCACTATTAGCAGACGGTTTTGGCCTAAGAGCCTAGCCTGGGACCCTGACCAGGGTTCCCTGGTGCCTGGGGCATGGCAGTGCAACACTCAGCCCCATGCTGAGTGCCCGAGAGGGACAGGAACTGCCCTCCAGCCTGGGGCAGCTCTGGAACTACTGAGGCTACATGGGCATGATGGGGCAGCGGCAGGCTGAGCCCTGGGATGCAGGAAACATCACAAGGTGCTCTGAAGACTCCTGAACTTCTCCCTCTGCAGTTTGGAAAGTCTCTGGACTTTTCTCTGTGGTGGATGCTGCTACCATGAATTCATCCTGTCCCCTCGAGGTATCCGTGTAACTGCGAGTGACAATTGCAGGCAGCGGTGGGGCTGGGGTTGGCTGCTGCATTCATTAGCATCTCACTTTTTAGTGAGTGTCACCTGCAGTGGTCAATAGAAGAAAAGTGAACCCAGGCAGACTGAGGCCTGGGGGAAAGCCTGCGGCAGCCTCCTGGATTTCAAAGGCCCTGCATCCACACGGCCCGTAGATCGCTATATCTATTTCTTTTAATACATCCAAGCGCCTCTTTCCTGGAGGACCACGCCGGAATGAAGCAGCGATCGACCGCCTGGGCGGCGGGAGGCCGGCACGCCTCCCTCTGCAGTGCAAATCACCATCGACCGGCTGCAGCCTCCCCTCCGTGCCTCTGAGAGGGGCTCCGCACCTGCCGCCCCCCCCTCCCTTCCCTCCCTCCCGGCTCCA